ATCGAAACGGACGGGCCTTGGGTATGTATGGTTCCTGGCCATTTCCTCCCCCTCTTCCCTGTTCACCTGTACGTCCAGGTGCATTGACCCATACGTATCTTCTTTAATAGTGTGAAATCCGGCCTTCACATGCCTCATATAAACACCTTGAAGGCGCGCCGGTGTTACCGAAATCCTTTAAAAAGGAGAAATGGCAAAAGGGCTGCATGGTGAAGGGTCGAAATGAGCCTGTGACCATATACCAAGTTGCGCACGTAATTGCGAGTGTGAAAGGCCTTTCTGTTGAGGAGGTTTGCGAAACGTAAGTTTTATGTTTCCCACATTCTATCCCGTTTCCAATTTGCTGCACGCGTGTATTCAGATTTATGCTAATGGGCCCATCTCCTCCACTGGAATAGTACGTGGCAAAACTCGATAAGAATGTTTGCCCTGGGGGAAACGTAGTGTCTCTTAGGAGGAAAGCTCATGCGAAAAACACGCTGCCGGCTTTCCTCCATTTCCGAGTTATTATGTATATAGAAATGGAAAATTCACTGGAGTTCATGAAACTACAGCTGGATTTATATGTCTTTTGGATTTTTTAGATTAGAAGGGCGGAACGGAATCCAACAGAACTAGAGAGATAATTCTGATTGGCTTTCTCAACGGCGACCTCCTTAGTCTCTCCAAGGCAATCAGTCCGTTAAGGTTTAGAACCGAATCTTGACACCCCGCGTTTGAGCTGACCTAGTCGCTTTATGCACTCCTCGCCGGGCATTCACCCGACATATGCATGTGTCCCGATAAGGCTGAGGGAACAACGGCTTGACATGGATGCTTGGAGTTGACGTTGGGCACCTGAAGAACTACCGCCTATACGTTAAAAGGAAGAAGGAAAAGTCCAATTAACTCAAGCCACCGGGAGCAAGAGTTTCTCGATCAACTTTTCGAGTTTGCGGTTGAACAAAGTTTCTATAATACTACTTTACGCCCACCAATTCGCCACGTGACCCGCGTTTTCCCGACGGAAGCTGTGGGTTGTCGGGCCGGAAAAACCCCGCTCCGGCCGCAGCTTAGACGCGGTGCTTGAGCTTGTCTCGGCCAATTGTTCGCTGTCCAGTGCTACAACTGGCATGAGTATACTTCAACCGTCAACCTCAACTTCAACCTCAACTTCAACCTCAACGGCCATCAATCCTCCCAAGAGAAATCCCTCTCAACTTCCACGAAGCTCGTCCTCGTCTTTCTATCTACGTGTCTCGCCATGGATCTGCAACGTACCCTCTATCAGACTCCGTGTAATGTCGATGGATAGCCTACGACTCACGGCTTCGGCGCTACCTACCTAGGGAGCCCTCGAACTCGCCCCTGCAATCCCTCAAACCAACCGTCCGTCCTGTCCGTCGGGACATTCCTCCAAAAACTCTCTATCTCGAATTCCTCTGTTAAATTCTGGGACATGTTATCCTAGTACCTTTGTCTTTTCCTCTCCCGTTTCTCTGCACCCGATTCCCTCATCTTTCTTTATCTTCCGGCCCCCCTTCACCATCTTCTTAAAAATACCTCCTTTTTACGTTTCTCTTTTTCCTCCTTCATTTTTCGTCTTTGCGATTCATCATATCTCCCATCCTGACAAGACGTCTCTGTATCTATCCGATTTTCCCTCAGATCTAAGAACGATATAGTTTGCTAGACTGAGCTCTCAATTCCTGATCACAATACTTGATATGCTGTTGTAACTCTCACATATTCCTTTCCCATTCTACACCGACCCCGACCCCGCCTCTGGCCTCGAGAGTCCGGCGGCAGGACGAAACCCCGAGATTCCGGCCACCCCGGAACATTCCCTAACCCCCACAAGATTTCCCATGACGAAGTGCACTTGGAGTGCTATGCCAGCTCAGTCTTCCTGCCACAAGATGACCGATTTCCTCTCCCCTTCTACTGCCATAGAAATTATCAAAGACGACAAACAAGGTACGTTTCTCCTCTGTTTGCCTGTTGGTCGTTTTTTCATTCTCTTTTTTTGCGCCGGTATTTCCTGTTCGATAAAGATGCTACGAGGCCAGCCATATTTGTGTTATGTGCCATGCTATCCGTATCTTAGTTTCTTGTTTTTTTCTTTTTTTTTCTTTTTCTGACGGGAAATGTTTTGGAGCAGGAGAAAATGGATACTTGGTTAGCGGCTTTGAAAGCGGGCCAAGCCGTCCACCCACGCCACACGGAGCTGGATTACCAGAAAACTTCGCTGAAGTCGTCCAAGGCGTATACAGAAGTAGCTTTCCTTTACCAGTGCATCTCGACTCTATTGCCCGTCTTAATCTTAAGACCATTGTGTAAGTTTTCAATTGGAATTCATTGTTTTTTTTTTTTTTTTTTTTTTTTTTCGCGAAACCGTATGTGTGCTGACTAGGAAATAGAACCTTAGTTGACGAAAAATGGTCTCCTGATTATGGCGAATTTATCCGCAAAAATGGAATTAAGTCCCATGTCATTCCCATTTTGGCAAACAAAGCCCCGCAGGTCTCCACGCCCTATGAAACTGTCATTGAAGTACTAAAGATTATTTTGAACCCGACGAATCATCCTGTATTAATTCACTGCAACAAAGGCAAAGTAAGTTATTATCTTTGCCCGAACAGTACAAATGAATAAGTAAATAAATTAAGCCTTTTCCGCCATCTAATCTTGTTATTCTAGCATCGAACCGGATGTATTATCGCCTGCTTTCGCAGAGTTCAAGGGTGGTCTCTCATGGCTTCGCTCCAGGAATATCAGAAATATTCTACACCTAAATCGCGTGTGCTAGACCGCATTTATATCGAGGAATTCGACTCAGATTCCCTCTGTGACCTCGTTGAAAAAGTGGGGGCTCGCAAATGGCTTCCGACAATTATTCCAGTCGATAACATCGGGAAAGACAAACTCGAAACATCGCATATCGGCCTTAATGATCAATTCCCGAAAGCCGAAAGTGCACCTCCTAGCCACTTCAATGCAAGTTTAGAGGAACTCCACAGAATCAACTCCATCTAAAATATATTCCTGGATTCATATCAATTCCTTCAATCACCTTTCGCCAGTGATCAGGAATGCCAAAATCCCATCGAGCAGACAATGCTCGTTATTTCCCTGGGTCCACTTTCCTTGCTTATATCGGGGCGTTTCCGGATAAGGATCGAGATCACAACCGAAAAATAAAACACCACGGCGTTTCGTTTCTCCATTCATTTATTTCATCACTACGAGGATTATTTATAGACCGTTAGGTTTGGGTTCTGGGGTAGGGTACATGTACATACGGGCGCGGGAAATGGAACCGCAAGTCCCCAGTACTGCGGTAATAAAAAGAAATAATAAATTAAAATACAACTTGTCATTGAAAACCTGGCGTTAAGGATGGGAGGTTGCACAGCTTAATTTACCGCCCAGCGGCGGCAGCGGCGATTTTTTAATACAGCACTCTTTGCCTTATTCTTTCTTTCTCTTTTCTTTCTATTT